TGACTCAGCCGGGGTTCGAAACCGCGACCTCCCCTATCCAAGGCTGACGCTCTAACCACTATGCCACCGGATCGGTTGTAGGTATATCTGAATATGCTTCGTCCAAAAAAGAGATTGCCATTATACTATTTTGTTTTCATGAATGGTCTTTTACATATTAAATATTAATATATTAAATGGTTATTACCAGTGATTTAAATGAGAATGTAATGAAAATTAGCATTGATAAAAGTGTCTTTTCTTGCCCCAAAAGCATAGTAGCGGCCAAACCTTTTATATTAGAATATTCAAGATTCCAAAGAAAATAAAGGCTCTCATTAATGAGGTACATGCTGTGCTTGATAGAATAATACGGTTTTCGTGATCATTTCTGTAGGTTAGGGGATGCAATTGTTTTTAAACACTACTTTCATATTTTAAGTCATGCTTTATCTACTAGTCGTCAGATGCTGACTTCACCCTGAGCATTAAACATAGCACAAATCACCTGCTCGCTCTGTATCCCGTCACTAATATCGGACACGATAACACAATTTATTATTTGCTATTTTTGGGCTTAGCTCTCGCAGATTGAACACCAAATCTATAAGCCAGGTACGTGCAACCTGGGACCCGCGGGCCGGATCCAACCCGTGACCAGATATTATCTGCTAATTTACGTCAGAAAGTTTGGCTTTAGAAATTTCTTATCCAGCACATGCCCCGGAGGGAGTAGCACGTGCTTAGGATAAACAATAAACAGTCATTTTTTGACGTACACGGAAGTTTGTTATTTTAAAGAATAATTTGAGGGATTATAATTAGAGCGATTTGCTTGCGAAAATTTTTATCTTGCTATAACTTTCGAAATGTTTATATTGAGTTGCATCGGATACCTAAAAAAATAAAAGTCAGGTGGCGAAAAACAGTCCTATACATCCATCTATGGATCCTATGTGTATGGGTCTGATTAAGATAATTGTAAACAATGAATAGCGCGGAACTTGTTTTTTTGACTACTCTAAGCCCGTTTAACTGTCGCCTAGTCTTTATCAAAGGCAGACTGAAAAAATACAAGCAAGACAAACATTAATTAAAATGGTGTATAATATACAACTTCATATGATTATGGATTAAGTAGAAATATTATTTAAATGTAGTGATTATTGATTTAAACTCCGATGATAAAATGACAAAACTATTTGGTTTTTACCTGTACACACACTCTCTCTCTCTCTCTCTCTCTCTCTCTCTCTCTCTCTCTCTCTCTCTCTCTCTCTCTCTCTCTCTCTCTCTCTCTCTCTCTCTCTCTCTCTCTCTCTCTCTCTCTCACACACACACACACACACACACACACAAGTCGAGCGCAATTTTGATGCAAGTAGTCTATAACACAAAATCTCCTTTATACTAATGACAATAGAATTGTTGGTGTAATAATTTCAATACGTCTTCGATAGCTCCTACACATCAAGTATTTTTCACATAATCCTTGCCACATACGTTCTTTACTTTCCCTGGTAATTTGGCAAATATTGGTATCTGTAACGTCAGTCAAAGAATTTTTACAACTACTGACGAGGCACCTATCTAAAGTATTTTTGTATAGCACGAGTGATAAGTAGAAAGATTACCTCTCCTGCAATAAGCTTTTTCTCCACGAAGATATTGAAAGTTGTGATTCGTACTGCATGACGAATGCCATACGCTTAGTGCTAAACCCGGAACTTTGAAACCAACATGGACAATACTATTAATTAATTATGTAGTCATAACTTTTCCCCATCTAGGAGTTAAATAGTAGGGTGTACACAACTGTAATTTATCAGTGGTCTACCTGTTTATGGCTCTATGGAAGAGAAGGTCAAATGCAAGGACGAGTGCTTCATTTCTCTTAGTATGATTGGGCGATTTTAAGAACAAATATGTTTAGTGAAGATGCACTTTTTGTACATTCTGAATCGGGTTCAAGGATGTATCTCCTCGTGGAAGATATATACAATTAGGAATGAACATACAGAGAACATCTGATTCCGATATGCCATCAAAATATTTCTGATATCAAGATTTGTGCTTGTAACGTTGCCTTGATTGATGTAAAATTACAGGCACTCATTTCAATCCATCAGAATTGACTTCAAAAGCTAAACAATTTTTGGACCTAATCGTATATTAAAAATGAAACCAGCAAGTGGTGGTAGGTTTGTATAATTTTCATAGTATGTTATCTGGTGTATTAAAGAAAATAAAATTTCAGTGTTAAAATGTCTAATTATCACCCTCATCCACATTATCATCTTCCAAACCATTCCAAACCATACTTATCGGGGTTGCACCTAGCAGAGAGCATGTGAAATGTCAATTTATAGAACTACGTACGTGCATTACCTTAATTCAAGGAATTCTTGATCTTTACCTCCGATATTGTTTTCAACCTCGATTTTCTTAAAAATAAGAGAAATAAAACCAATTTGCATTCCCGTTATACTGTATTATTATTATTATTATTATTATTATTATTATTATTATTATTATTATTATTATTATTATTTTTATTATCATCATCATCATCATCATCATCATCATCATCATCATCATCATCATCATCATCATCATCATCATCATCATCATCATCATCATCATCATCATCATTATTATTATTATTATTATTATTATTATTATTATTATTATTATTATTATTATTATTATTATTATTATTATTATTTAGGCGTTTCGACATTTATGCAGAGGTCTACTGCTGTAGTACTTGAAAGTGCGAAAAAACGCGATCAGTTACATCTATAAATCTAGAAAATCAAATAATATTGGATTTATTAATGTTAAATCCATCATCTAGATGTTCAAATAACATTGGATTTATTAATGTTTAATCCATCATACGAGAGTATATATCGCATACATATTTCCTGTGTTTTAGCTTATCAAATTGCAAGTGCTATGATAGTTTGGCATTCTTGTGTTGTATGTTATTGTTACACATTAATACGCTCATATATAATAAAACTTAATAGAAATCAAAATGAAAATGTTGAAGCACATAATAATACTTTACAAATATGATGCAACACTTAAAGTGTTAGCATATTACGAGATCGATTAGAAAAACGAAAACTAAACAAAACCAACAAGGTTAGCTGTGCATAACCTAAGGTAGAATTATGTTCGAAAACTTATTTTAAAGTGTAAAAGACTCATTTAATAAACCACTAAGCTATTCCATTCACAAGATCAGCATGTAACCTTTACTTAAACCAACTGTACAAAATGAAAACAAAACACCGAATTAGAAAGGCAAATCAAGCAGCATGCATGCACAAAAAAACAGCTAGCAAAAACTGTTAAATTCCTAACACGTTAAAGATTCGCAGCCTTTGAATGTCAGCGATAAAAGATATAATCAATATTTACCACGCATTATTAGACCCAGCTTTATCGGTAGCGTTAGCTTGTTGTTACATAATTTGGCAGATTATAAAGTGTGTGTGTGTGTGTGTGCACGTGCGTGTGTGTGATTTAGATTTTTAACGTAGCTTTAACAATATTTCATTCCTATCGCTACGATGTCTGCAGCTTGACAGTTTATAGAGATTTCTAGTACTGGGGCATCACGCCAAAGACATGTGACATTATGTCCCACCCAGTCACATTATCCTGACACCAGGCCAACCAGTCCTAACACTAACCTCTTAATGATGATCGCCAAGCGAGGCAGCTGTTTGCACCAGTTTTTATAATCACTCTCTGAATTCATTCTGTAGTAGGTACTAATATTGGTAGGCCCTAATATGTGCTTCATACTTAATTGTGTATGGATTGATGTATAACAAAAATGGCGCCCTTTGTAAAATATATCTTTGTGCTACCATATTTTTTGTTTATCTAACATATCTTGCAATACATGTAGTGGTTTTGTGTCTTGCAAGTAGTATGCTATATTTCGTGCTTCCTTCAGTCGTCTATAGATTTAAAAAGATATTTCTTGCAATGCTTTATGTTGATATTGCTTTGACGCCAACATAAATGATTTCAGTTCTGTCCATATTTGTGTAAATGAAATATCTTGCATTGTGCTACCTATATAGTAAAGTCGTGTACACGAACACAATTTAACTCTTTTTTATATTTAGCTTAGCCGAATTGCCTTCCTCTTGAGAATGGTTCAATGATCTCTTGATTTACGATATAACTTCTCTGAGTCTGACTGGGGATGTGACTGGGGATACCTATACTAATGTGTTAATATGTTGTTCTAGTGTCCCAGACAAATTTAAAATTATATAGACTAGTGTGTTTGTGTGACAATATTTGACTGTGCTAGATATTTAGCATAATTTGTAATTTTATTTTCTTGTGTTTAGGCCTTAGTGTAAAAACCTACTGCGCTAGAAATTCTTAAATTTGTTTTCTAGTCTTCACATACCTTCTTATAGGAGCATGTTGGTATAAATAGACGATACTCCGATTCATAGTGTAGCATTATTTTCGCAAATGTTTAAATAAAATATTTTTGGTACCCCAAAAAGACTCATTACAAGGAAAATAATATATATGTTTTAGAACTCTTTGAACCAAATTGCTAACCACAATTTTAATTTATTTCACTGTCAAGGCTACAATAAAGCATTACGCTGGAACAAGAGACAGCAAGGGGAGGTCTTGTTTTATACATTAGGTAACATGTAAATGCATAAAGTTGACTTGATTTGGTGGAAATTTCTCAAAATAATGCAAAATCATTCGTAGTTGGTTTCATTTATAGGCCACCTTCCTACAAAGCAATTCGGAATGAAAACGTTTGGAAGAAAATAGAAAATGTTAATGCACAGGAGAAGAAATCACGCACACACACACACACACACACACACACACACACACACACACACACACACACACACACACACACATATATATATATATATATATATATATATATATATATATATATATATATATATATATATATATATATATATATATATATATATAGGTTACTGCATTTGTATGGAAATACATGAATATAGGTTACTGCATTTGTATGGGGAATACATGAACGAGTTTTTCGGATGGATATAC